GGAATTCAAGTATCTGTTCAAATGTCTCTGGAATGTCGAACCAACTAAACCAGGCTACGATTCCGCCACGTCCCAGTCGAATTGAAACATTTGGTACGTTACTTTCAGACTTCAGTCATGTTGCGCGTTGACTTCAGTCATTCCATGTGTCGTTTTTGGATGGGTCAAATGGAATGATCCTTGAATCCTAAAGACAATTCGTACATGACAGGGTATATAAGTAATACCCAAAGTATGTGCATCTTCAATTCCGCTGTGACCAACACAATGCTCTCAGGTTTTTGGTCCTCAATAATACTCGTTGCTTCGTTGGTTGCTGTGCGGCTCTCCATCCACTCATAACAACACAGCGCTAATTCAGCCAATAGCAGGCAACCGCCTCCCACATCGAGTCCCGCGGAAACGCTCCCCATTGCTGCGAAAAGCTCCTGTCGTCGGCCAGTCCAGCGGTGGCACCGTTCCTCGGACTTTTGGGCGTCACCATCCCCATTCCTCCAGTGGACCTAGGAATCTGCTGTAAGCCAATCTCGGTGTCGGGCTGCGATAACAACTGGTGAGCCATCCTATAAAGCTCAGTGCGTCGCTTTCTCACAAGTGATAACTAGCACCGGCGGGATCGCTGTGACTTGCGCCGGGATCCCCGTATCTGTGGTGGGCGTCGACATCGGCGTGGACTGCACACCTATTCCACCGTGCCCTCCCCCCTGCAATACGTATGCCTCAAAAGCCGCGATTTGAGGATTGCACTTTCATATCTGCATTTATAGACTTTCAACCAGTACCTCGCAGTTGTTCGGCTCCAACGCCGGCGACGCCTTTAATGATCTTAACACCTGTAAGTCGAGACACCACCTACATGCGTCGTCATCTCTTGTCATGTAATAATTCTTTAACCCACACATGTAGTCGTCGGCAATGCCACCGTCACGACAGACAATGTCCCTTCCATACACGCAATCACCTTCCGCTTCGGCTCAGTGGTAAGTGGTAATCCGCTCTCTCTCGTGCTCAGCTCTCTGTACAAGATGAACTGTGTTAATTCAGATCGACGGTCTGGCCGTCACCTACGCGCCGGGCCCCAACCAGGACCTCAACACCATCCAGCACGGAACTTCACTCACTACGGTAGATTCCGGGCTGATGAATTCAACCCTCACCTTGGGAGGTACGTATCTTCTCTCCCATACGTCTCCCTGCGCATTGTTAAATTTTCATTTTGAAAGCCAACGAAACCATTACGGCCGTATCCGGACAGACCGGCAACCATTCTCCGTTCGGGATCCGCGTACTGCAGCTTACATTCACCATCTCGAACTCCTTCACCGGGGCGTCGAGGGTAGCTGGGGTACGTTGAGCCTCCTTCTTTACACCACCCTCTCCCTTCATTACCCATCTCACTGTGAACGTATAGCCCTTCGGAAGCGCCACTGGCACGGCGTTCACCGTCGCTGGTAATGGTAGCGTCATTGCTCTGGGTGGAAGTGCGGTCAATACGAACCTGAGTCGTAAGTGGATTTTTTTGTTGCAAGGCAAGGATATTTGGACTTGGGAACTGACGATGGTGAATCAATAGTGAATCAGCTACAAACGGCGAGGGGAGGGCTCTATGGGCTGAGTTTCATTACGACGAACGGGACTGATTGCCCGCAGTAAGTGTTGGAATCCCGGGCGGCTGAGCGAGCATCGGAGCTCGGCCAACCGTGGGAACGGGGGTCAGTAAGCACTCGGGCTGACTGATGCGCCCGAGAAACATTACTCAGCAGGGTTCGTAGTATAAAAGCTAGTAGTACAGATGTACCTACTCATCCGTTTGCAACCCACCTGTCCTAATTTACCTCAGGACAATGACCTAACTTCTACAATAAGTGGCCAGACCAGTTAGCTGTGGGGCTTTGTGGTGGTGTGGGTTGGCGGGTTTGCTCCTTTGTTCGCGGATTTGGTCTCTCCTTCGATGAGCACTAAAATAAAGGCACTGCTTTCACCACACATCCTGTCGCTGAGTCTGACTATTCCCCATATGAAAAATAAAGAACCACCCAATCCATTCGTATAAAGTTGCACAATTTCAAAGGATTTACGGGATACCACAATTCCAAACTCGAGAAGTTATGTCCGACACCGTGAACCTTACCTGTCTGTGAATAACCGCATCCTACACTCAGGAGCTCTAACGCCACGGGATCTGGGCTCGACGACAAAAATGCCACATTAGAGACCTTGCGCAAAAGCCGCACAAGCCGCATGCGGCTTTTGGGCATTGCGCAAAGCCGCGTGCGGAAACTAAAGTTGAGGTTAGAAAAAAAACTGAGTTGGTCAAAGGGTAGGTGGGCCCAAGTAAATACACTGGGGATTCGGAAATATCTTGTCTGTACCTCAACTGTTGCGTACAAGATATGAAAAATGTGGGAAGTTTGCGTGGAGCTGCCGTGATGGCTAGAAATGTTCCTTCCCACAACTGCGCACCCAACTGATACAGATTTATGTGCATACAATACACTTTTTCAGGGATGGAGGACCCTATTTAACTCACCCTGGCCCAAAGACAAACCCGTCAAATCCAGGGAATTTTGCGCAATGGCCGAAAGCCGCATGCGGCTCATGCGGCTTTTGCGCAAGGTCTCTATTGACAGGCTGCTCCCCGCCAACTGGCTATATAATGAGCGGAACGCCTTCTGCCAGCGACTCCAAGATCGAACTTCGATTTCATGTGAGCGAGATAAACGCGCAGGTGAATTAAAAGGAGGAAAAGAATCTCACTTGGATCCCCGTGCGTGAGGAACCACTCGACGGCAGCGTGTTGAAGGATTGGCCTCTGCTCAACCCAGAAGTCACATATCAGGCCTTTGCCGGTCGAGTTGACTCGTTGGATGAGCTCCTGGCAGGGCTGCCGATTTCCCACCAAGCGCGAGAACGAAGGGGAAGGGTTTGACGAGGTTGAGGAGCGTGTTCACGAGCGCCTCGATGATCCTCGAAGAAACGTGCTTCGGGCAGTCCGATGTGCACCGACAAGCGGTGGTAAATGGTTTGTCGCTGCGGATCGGCGACCTCTACGACCTCGGGGTGCCTTACAATGATTGTGCGATGGAGTGCACTTTCTGCGTGCACTGGTCCAGCGACGAAGTTGAGCTCGAGGGTGATTCCGGTCTTACCCTCGCAGTCACTTACACCGAGGGATGTGACCCGAAACGCTCGGGCGGATTGGACGACTTTTACAGCGATGGGTTCAGAGAAAACGCCGGCCACCAGATCGTTTTTGGAGACTGGGCCCTCTCAGATTTGGTTTGAATGTATGTACCTCGGCGACAATAAAATCCGGTTCTGGTTCTTCCTGATTCAACCATCACCTCTGGTTCAAGTTCGATGTACAGTACCTGGAGGCCTGATCTTCAAGAACCTTGTTGGACACGGCATGCACCGGTGTATACGGCACCAATAGTATTTGGTGGGGACTCCAGCAACAAAGCCCATATCTCGAATCGGGTGTTGAAATATAAGTATACTCCAGTCAGACGTGGTGTAAGGTACACCCGTTAATGGAGATGTGACGAGCGTCCGGGCTTCGATTCCTCACGTCTGAACTTGATCTTGACATGCCTTTTCTTCTTGAGTACAAATGTTGTGGTGAAAACCTTTGCAGATCCACGGAGTCCAATCAGACGTGGGTGGGGTACACCCTCGCCCTCGTTTTCATTCTTCTCGTGTCCAGCGAGCGTCGCAACCTCCGGCGCCTGAATCCAGTTATTCTCGCAAGCGATTTCGTCCTGCGCTCCCCTGGTGCGAGGCCACGCTGCGTAGATATAGGACCTCTAATCAGACGTGGTGTACGGTACACCCTCGCTTTGAGTGAGGACACGGCACTTAAAAATGCAGCGAACGTCCGGGGTTCGATTCCCCATGTCTGAGTGCTCCGCGTTGCCTTCGACAAGTTTTTTGAAAAATTTCTGTCTCGTTTTTGATCTTTCTGTCCCGTTCTGTTTCTTTCGCTTTTATTCGTCTGTCGCATCTCAACAAAATTTGCGTGTCGACGGAATTTGCCCTTGCTGCTTCTTAGGCTTCTTCTCATTCATTCGTTGACAGATTGTCGATTTCCGAAATGAAACAAACCTTCGAACTCAACAACTTGAAAAAAAATTAAACATGGGTACGTGATGGCGCTGGAAACAAAGGTCCAACCCAGGTGAGAGATGGATAAAGAGAAGCCTGTCCATGACATCGAGGGCATATTTCTGGTTCAACCATTTCTCACTACCGCTGGTTCAAGTTCGATGTACAGTGCTTGGAGGCCTGATCCTCAAGAAATCGAGCTTGCTCACATCCGTAAATACACGACGCCACAGTATTCGGTGGGGACTCCAAGTCTTCAACAACAAAGCCCATATCTCGGGTGTTGAAATATACACCTCAATTAGACGTGGTGTAAGGTACACCCTCGCCTTCACTAATATGCTCCCGAACTTCGGCGAGTTCCCGGGGTTCGATTCCCCGCGTCTGAATGTTTGAGTTCAACACACTTTTTCTTCTTGCCCTCCCGTTTTGTGGTGCAAACCTCCGTAGATCCACGGCGTCCAATCAGACGACACTCTCGCGTTCATTATTCCCGTGTCCAGCGAACGTTGCAACTCCCACTCGTTCTCGTGAGTTATTTCTTCTTGCGCTCCCCCAGGCTGGCGCGAGGTTATGCTGCATAAATATAGGTCTTCTAATCAGACGTGGTGTAAGGTACACCCTCGCCTTCATTAGGTACTGGCTACTATTGCGCCACGAGATTCGGCGAGTTCTCGGGGTTCGATTCCCCGCATCTGAATGACCAGCCGATCCCGTCGTGTTTTTTCTTCTTGCCTTCCCGCGTACAAATGTTGAGGTGGACACTTCGTAGTTCAATCAGACGTGGGTCTTCTTGTATCCGACACATCAGCGCCTGAATAATTCGGTCGTTCTCGCAAGTTGTGAATTCTTCTTGCGCTTAGGTTATGCCATCTGCATAGATATGGGTCCTCTAATCAGATGTGGTGTAAGGTACACACACTTGCTTTCATTATATGCATTATACGAGATCAAGATCAGCGAGCGTCCGGGGTTCGATTCCTCGCGTCTGAATGCGGCATCCTCAATGTTTTGCATAAATTTCCGTCCGATTTTTTTTTCTTTCTCGTTTGTTCACCTGCGTCTAAGAGGAATTTGCGGTTTCTGTTGCTTCTCCTTGTCCATCCTTTCTTTCTTCATTTTTCATTCTTGTGTTTTGGGATCGAAACGAACATTCGCAGTCAATAATATGAGTAATAAGTATGTGATGACATTGGAAAGGGACGTCCAAGGTCCAGGTTAGAGAGATCTACATTCTAGATGGAGAAACAGAAGCCTCCCGACACAGATATCGATATCTGAGCACTGCAGAAACAAGCACGTTGTGATCGCGCCGCCCTTGCATTGGGTTGCTATTTTGTCTCACGATGCCCGCTCTGCTTCGCGCTTGCCCTCTCCGGCGCGAGCCGAGGCCGAAGCCAGTAGACGCGGCCAGCCATGTCCGCGCAAGGCTCTCCCTCTTTTCTACGTCCCGCCAACGTCACGCATCGAGTGCCCTCTCTCCCCAATCACCACCACACACCCCCTCCCATTCAACACCCTCCACTCCCCCCCACCACGCGCACAGCCCGCCCCCGGGCCCATCCAGCACCACGCGCTCCAGCACCCCGAACGCCACCCCCCACAGTGCCACCGTGTGCGCCCTGAGGCGCCCCAGCGCCTCCACTCCGCGCCGAGGTACAGGTGCATGCACGCGAGCGCGCGCGCGTCGGGCGAGGGCGGCGCGTCGGTGGCGGAGAGGCGCGCGGGGGAGTAGTGCAGCGCGGCGAGGGCGGGGAGGAGAGCGAGGATGGCGGGGAAGGGGACGCGCGGGGGCGGGGCGGGGGCGCGGTCGTCGAAGAGAGTGAGGGTGCGCAGCGCGGGGAGGATGGGGAAGGCGGGCCATTCGAGGTGCGCGGGCGCGATGGTGAGGTGCGTGAGCTGGGCGAGGTTGGTGGCGTGCAGGATGACGTGCACGCAGGAGGGTGTGAGCGGGAGGAGGACGAGGGATTGCAGACGGGATAAGGGCGGAAAAACGGGCAGAGTAGCAGCGGAGAGGCCGGTGCCGATGCTGGGTGAGCTGGAGAGCGAGAGGTGCTGTATATTGGGCGCAGCGGCGAGGACGGCGCGCAGCAGGGGCGCTGGCCAGCGGACTCGATCCAGTACACGCACGTGAGGGATGGTAGAGGCGGGAGTGAGGTGTCCAAGGCAGCGGTGTAGAGACGCTCGGACCGCGGAAACTCTGGCTGGACGAGGACGTTGATGTGTGGGCCGCAGTGTCGCAGCATGAACTCATTGTGATCGAAGCGCGTCGGAGAAAGGCGCACGTTGCATGGAGGACGTCCACCGCATTATTGGCATTGGCCACAGGTGGATTCGCCGTCGACGCAGGCTGGGTAGGCATCGACGACGCAGCAGCGGCGGGTGCTGGTGCGGGCGCCGACGCAGCAGCAGCTTTCTTGTGACTCGCATTCGCGCGTTTACGGGGTGCGGGCGCCGCGCGCCTCGCAGGTGCGTAATCATCGTCCGAGTCATCTGCCAGCGTGTCCCCATCGTCGTCATCGTCCTCATCCGCACCCCGCGCCGCCTTCTTCTTCGTCCCCGCCCCTCTCGTCTTCGCATTGCTGCCTGTTGCTTTTACTGCCGCACCGCTGTATCCCGCGCCGGCCTTGTCCGCCGCACAGCACACACCTGCTCCTTCCCGCCCGCGGGGCCTTTGTATTCATCCACGAACGTGTTCATCGCCTTGTACACCTATTCCGCATAACAATCAGCTTTCACTCGACCTACACCTGACACCGCCCCGTCTCGCTCTGCCCCGCTTGGGAGATGAGAGGAGAAGAGGACGACATTGTCTTCCACGCAACTCACCTTCCCATTATTCCTAATATCGTCATGCTGCTTCCTCACATCCGCGCGCATATCCTTCACCGCCTTCCCGAGCGCCTCGAGCGTGAGCCGGCCCTTGTGTCGATGGACGAGGGGGCTGATCATGATGAACTCGATGGGGGCGATCTTGGCGAATGCGGAGGCGTTTTGGGGGTCGCAGACGAGGGTCTGGGGGTAGAGTATCAGTATTCAAGTTGACCCTCGGAGAAGCCACAGGCAACGTGCCTCATAAGCGCTATACGTATTCTCGATGCTCACCGCAAATGCGGGCGCCATCGGCGCCGGGTCCGCGAGCCACTTCTCCGCCGCCTTTGCGCCGGTAGGTGAGCTTGAGAGAACAGAGATACAGAAATGATATAAGCACCTAGATAGAGGTGTTCTTGGGCGAGAGAGCGATACACTGGAAGGTTTGCGCGAGGCAGCGAAAGTCGGAGCCGCGGGAGCGGTCCCATGCGAGCGCGGCGCCACCGAGGCCGTCGTAAGAGGTATTAGCATGCGTTCGGTGATGCCGGTACGAGAACACAAAATGGGAGGTAGCAATATGTTGGCGGGATGCGAAATGGGAAACGGGAAATGGGAAAGGCGAAATGGGACCAAGATGGAGAGAGGGCCAAGGCCGAGCAAGGGCCCAAAGAGGAGGAGCGAGAGTAAGAGGGCGAGGAACGGGGAACGGAAGAGGACGACGAAGGGTACAAAAGCATGGGTATGCAGCGGGGCTGCCGGGGCAAACTCTGGCCAATTTAAGGCCGCCGTCCTAAGCTTATTTTCGCGTTGAGTCACATCAGTGACCACAAACGCGACACTTGTCGTGCTCCCATGTCCAAACTCCCACCCATATCAACTGTCGAACTCAACCACGAAGGCAACAACCTGTGGCCGCTAATACTGCGTGCGGAAGAAGCTGCTCTGGCTGAAGCTACCAAGGCTGGGGCCCCCAAAGCCGGGACTCCAAAATATACCGACAATCTTATAGGGGCGCGCGTCGTCGGTTTCCTCCTCCAGGATCTTTGCAAGCACCAGAGTGACTCTTTCGGTCTAATTCCCTACAGGTATCTCGTGAGAGAGATTTCGTTGTGTTTCTCCGTTCCAGGCGTGGGCGTTGGGACCGAGGCCGAGGCTCAAGCACAGTATAGGGCAATCTACAAACTGGGTCTTTTTTACCGGAATCATCTAATGCGCGTCTGTGGGTCACTGCAAGCATCTTCGTTGCTTGAACGCGTTTCAATAGTTGTAAAGTTCGTTCCGATGGAGGCCCGGTGCCAACAGCCTCCCACCACCCCTCCCGCCCTTCCATGGAGCAGGTTAGAGAGTGCATCATCAAAGAGATGCAAACCCCCACAACAGAACCCGACGTGCGCAGATATGTGTGTATGCTTGTTTGTTCATGTCAAGTAAGATATTTATTTTCCAGACACTCATCCGCGACGGCTACCGTTGCGTCCTCACTGGAGCGTACGATTCTGAGTCTTGCGACAAATATCCGGATCTTGATGCTCGTGCCATCGCCGAACAAGCGAACGTGACGAATACTCAATGTGCCCATATCATTTCTGAGTCGGCGCAGGACGACGACAAGGTGACTTTTTTTGCTTCAGTTTTCAGCACTATTTTTCTGAGGCATAAACATTTTAAAGGCCGAATATGCCGCCAGCGTCATGGCGATCCTCAAGATGTTTGGCCTCACCGACAAGGCGGAGAGTCTCGTTGGCGGGAACGTGAACAAGCATTTCAATACCTTCACCATGGCCGCCAATTTACACTACTTTTTCGACCATCTTAAATTCTGGCTCGAGGAAGTAATTGGGGAGGCAAGCAAAAATTTCTCTGGTGCATTTTTAGTTTTTCATATTCCCGCGTCAGCCGAACACCTACGACGTCCGTGCAGCGAAGCCATCGTTCTTCACGCGAACCGTAGGGCCTCCTGATCGCCGCGTGACATTCAAGGTCGACCCGGACGTCGAGGCCGCTTGCCGGGCCAACAACAAGCCAGTGCCTGCACTGCCTTCTCCCACTCTCCTTGCCATACGCGCTGCATGCTCACGTGTCGCGCACATGTCTGGTGCCACTGAACAGATTGACCAAGTTCTCCGCGACCTCGAGGATACACCTATTATGGCGGAGGATGGGAGCACCGTGGATCTTCTCACATCGCGCTTATTACAGTCGCCGCGTAGTGTCCGCATCACCGCCTAGGAGGTGGCTTTTTTCATTTGTTCCTTTTTCGAGTGGGCGTAAAGATACTACGTTGCGGTAATTTTAGTATGCGCTCCAAAAGCTATTGAGTCCCGAGCCCTCCCGCGTGATACACGTTTCCAACAGTTTGCTGCCATCTGTGAACGGTCTCTCACCTTTGCTCCCCCCACTCTTCCTGCTTCTCGAAGGGCGCTTGTATTTTTCCCTGTTGTAAGTAAATTCTCAACTGGGTGCCCGTTTCGAAGATTGTGTGTCCTGGTATACTCATTATGCATGTCCTCTCACAAACATCGGTACATACATTTCCCCTGCATCGTACGTGAACTTTGCGTTGTCAGCGGCCAGGTCCCACAATGCCGTGCGCACTGCTGAGGTGACAACAATGTCGGTTCCAGGAAAGCAGCGGATGCAAAGATGGAATGGCATGGAGGAGCCAGACAGCCGCGCGACTCTGGACGCCGCCAGGTCCACGAGGAGACCGTGCGTGAACGTGAGCCGCGACACGCAGGCAAAATAAGACAGGCAGGGGACAAGACAGTCTCGCCCCGGCGCATCGCTTATCGCCCGCAAGAAGCTGTCGGTAATGACGCCGTTCGATTTGCCGGATTTCCCCCGCTGTTTGCGTTTGCACGGCTTCTCTGGAGCGTCTCCGACTTCCAGGCGTTCCAGTGCCGGGAGCAGCGATAAAACCTGCAGCAGATCGCTCTCTCCGATGCGCACCTCGACTATGCGCAGGGTCCGGAGGCAGCTAGAAAGGCCGGAGCGCTCGCACAAGACAACGAACTCGGCATGCGGCCACTGCAATGCGAGCTCGGGGTAGCCGCGGCACCCCATGACAAGGCGTTGTAGCTGGGTCGCGGTGACACTGGCAAAGATGCGCTCGACAATGGTGGCCATGTCGCGAGCGTTGAACTTCGCCATCGTCGTACAAACATTGAATGCAGAAAAGCGCC